TTTGCCTGAAACTCTCAGACTGAAGAAGTCTCTTGGAGGAGAGACGAAACGTTTCATTAGAGAAGAACCTGTCCAGAAGACCTATAAATTTTTTTTTCTTTTTGATTTTTTACCTGGATTACTGAGATGCATCAGGACAGATATCTTAAATAGGTATTTTGAATTGTCAAAATATATTAAGAGATGTCTATTTATTTGTTTCTTTCTTTCATTCATAAAAACAAAACCATCTGTGTACAGCATTAAAAAAAACCCAAAGTAAATCATACCCTGAAGTAAAAGGGGTGCAGAGTGAAATAAAAAAAAAACAACAACGTTTTATCATATTTGCCCCTTATTTTCAAAAATCTACTTCAGCAAACAAACAATCTCAAGCTGGAAAGTTCTCCAAATTTTAAAAAAAGTAAAAAAAAAAAAAAACAAAATAATAAAAGAAAACATTTTATTTTATCCTAAATAACTAATATGTCTAATTTAGTTGAAGAAATTTATATTTATTAGAGGTTAGTACTGATGTTAAAAGCACAACACTATATTTTTAGGTTTTCCTTTTTATAATGTTGACAATGTTTAATCTATTTTTTGATTGATATACAGTAGATTAGTTACATGTCCGAATTATAACAACACAATCAACCGTTACGAGAACAGTAGGTGAGAATTTTGTCTGAATGCCTGTGATTCAGCCGTAGGTCAGTAGGGGGCGAACGCGGGCATTGAAGACCGTGTATAAATGGATGTACTTCCTGGTTTTTGGGCAGTGTGGTTTTCCTTGTCAGCTCCGGTGGCAGTAAAACCTCACTTGGTTCCAGAATTCTGGTGTTGTTTGGTTTTCATCCTTCTACAAATCATTTTATTTAACAGTGGTGGTTTTCATATTGACTTCAGTCTTTTGAACACGTATTTCCTTACTTAGTCATAAAACAATTTCAGATAACTAGAATACTGTATAAGTGTGGTGAAGCCAAATAAATGATAGATCGGCCTGCCATACAATGAGCTTCTGACCCGCTGCTGCTGCACTCTAATCTTCATCATCATCGTCATCAGAGCAGAAGCCGACATTAGCAAGATGGGTTTATGACTGAACGAACGTCCACATATTTTTTTCATCTCTGTGGGTAACAATACATAAAAAACATTTTCCCCTCCGAAAACACGAGTGTGAAAAAAGCTACGGTTGTTAAACCTTCTCTCTACAGCGGGAGGGGGACATTTTGACAATTTATTCTCTCTTTACATGTTTTAAAACGCCATATTTCTTCATTTATTTTCAGATGATTTTGAATGAATGACCCTATAAAAGAATAAAAGAAATTGTTTACCTGCCCTGTTGGGCAGGCATTGAGACACACCCACCTGCCTGACAATGGGTTTTACCTGCCCTGGGCAGTCGGGCAATAGGATTTGTCGAACTCTGAGCAGAACTATTTTTAAAGTTTAAAATGGGTAATAACAGAGCAGGTGATTGCTCAGATTAGTAATAATATAAATGTGTAGTAGTGCAAATGATTGTTCAAATGAGTAATGACAATGAACAATAGCAGTACAAATGATTGTGCAGCAGCAGGTGTGCAAACACTTATTGGGATTTTAATAAACACTTATTGTGAATTTTGGGCGTGGTGCTGGTTATAGAGTCTGACAGCAGCTGGGAGGAAGGATCTGCGATAACGCTCCTTTGTGCACCTTGGATGCAGCAGTCTGTCGCTGAACTTTAATATGTTTCTGTAAACGGGTAAAAAAAACCAAACTTTGTGTCAGTGTTCCAATAGATATGGACCTAAGTGTACATACATAAATACACAAATAATACTCAATACAATAAAAACATGAAACATTATTATCCAAATGTAAAGAATGAATTACAGGAGAAGCAAGTGAGTAAGAAGCACATTTATTTGTAGAACCTACACATGGGGAAATGAAACATGTCCATGTGTGAAATGTATAAGAAACAATAATAAAAGCTGTTTGTTTGCAACATCTGTCTCCTATAATAAAATTCAGACAAATGCATGAAGCTGTTTTGACCTGGATATTAACCACGGTTTGCCTTTTCATTTGTTTTTATAGGAACAATGGTTGAAAAGTTTCCTGTATCATGGGAACCGTCGTTCCTGTCTCCATTGGCCCGGGGCTGCCCTGACTCTCCTGGTAGTGATAGGCCTCCCCTGTTGCCATGGCAGCCAGCCCAGGGGCAGGTACAGGCCTGTTTTTATCTACCTGTATGAACACAGGGATGTTCCGGATCATTCTTCTTTCTTTACAAGGGTTTTTTTCTTACACTATAACAACAGTCTAACATTATTTTAGCTTTCTAACACCATGATAAGCAGTCAGGTTTTATTTGTTCACACTGTGAGCCAGGCTGACAACAACCCTGATGACCCTCAGGGTGGAGGGGAGTGAGATTAATCTGCAGGTGGAATTCGTTCCATGCTCCACACGCTCCAGTTTTAAGTTGATAAATCTTCACAGATGAGAAGTGGAAAGTCTTCACCTAATAGAAGCTCAGTTGCTTTGCTTTTTAACTTTTAGGATTTGCCAAGTCCTGAATAAGTGAACATCTAAAGCAGCACACAGGCCAATCATTGAACACACTGTGGTTTGTTTTTTACCCTCCACAGTTCTGGCATCGAGCTGGTGAACGCCGCAGCTCTGTTCCTCCTCCTCCTGTTGAACCTGCTGCTGGTCAGACGCCAGGAGCGCCTGAAGAGGACTGAGATGGTGGGCCGCCTCAAAGGCATCACCACACAGCTCAGTGGTGAGTCTGAGAGGGAAGGCTGAGGCAGATGTTTAGCTTCAATACTTCTTTGTTAAACTTGTTCATTTTCTTTTACTGCAAATCTGTGTAGATAAGCACAGATCCATTAGGTTTAACACATCCATACAGCTCATGTTAGGTCTTTAATCCAGTTTGTTCAAGCTTGACTGACTGTGTCTGTTCAGTCCAGTTTTGATCAGAGCATGTCTTTATAGGCTCTGTCCAAATTCAGGGGCTGCGTCCTCCGAAGGCCGAATTTGTCGGCCGCTTACATCACAGCACCGCGCCAGAGGTTGTCCAAATTTAAAGACTCCTCCACTCCGGCCGACAAATATGTCCTCCTTTATGCTTGGTTTGAGGGACGGGACTGATGGATCCTTCTCGGCCCAGCCTATCCCTTGATGCAGTGCGGGCCGAATGACGGATGAAGTGAGAGAAAGGAGTACAATTTTAAATAAAAATATGGCAGTATAAATATTAAAAGTTTCAAGCGGTTGTGTTATTGATTTTATCATTTGTCACATGTTTCACATGTTTTTAATATTATTCTTGTAAGAAATCAAACGAGTTGGTTTAGAGAAATAACCATCCTACGTCGGGTCCATTAGTTCTTCAAATATTATCTTTAAGCTAATTTTCTTTTTTATATTTATAATATTAATACATTGATATTTTTGCTCATTTCAATCTATTTTTGCTTCTGTTTATTGTCATCACAATTGCTAGGTGATTGGACATACCCCGGGGGAAGGGCAGGAACAAAGCAGGAAGGCTAGACTGTACAAATTCACAGACACCTTTTTCCAATCCACGGTCGACCAACGACCTGGCTAGGGCTGCAACAACAAATTGATAAAATTGATAAAAATCAATTATTAAAAGCGTTGGCAATGAATTTCATTATCAATTAGTTGTGTCGTGCGATTTATGCACCCCTCGCCATGTCGCGGAGCCATTTATGTCACTCGCAGAGCGTTGTCAATGCTGGCTGACCTAAATAAATGCCTCCTTTCCTAAATAAAGTTTAGGAAGAATAAACTCTACCTGTAGATCTGCCCTCTTTGACTCTCGAGTGAAAAGTAGAGACTTCGAACTTTAAACCAGTTTTTAAATTGTGTTGTTAGGCCAAGTAGATCTGAAGTTATGATAAAAAGTTTCTGCCACATTTTGTTTTTTAAAAGACGGTTTGATTTGATGCAAGCCGCGTCGCGAGGAGGAAGCGCACCATTTGTTTCCTCCTCTCGGACCATAAAAACCCTCCCGATTTTTTCTGACTGAGGCTCAAAGTTATTTGTTGAGCAGCAAAAAGGTTCAGGACGAAGGGGGGAAAAAAAGAGAGACGCGAGCAGCAGGTCCGCCTCAGTTGCGGGGGGGCTGGGGG